ATGCTGAATCTTATAGGGAAAACATTTTAAAGTGTACTATTTGATTCAGGATTTTTAAAAAATTAACATAATAACTTTTTCTTTTGGTGTATAGTTTTTTGAGTTTTAACACAAGTATGGATTCATGTAACCATCACTATAATCAGGATAGTGAATAGTTGTAAAATCCCTGAAATTCCTTTATATGCTGCTACGTTGTAGTCAAATCCTCCCCCACCCCCATTCCATCTCTAACCTCTGGCAACTACTGTTCTGATCTGTTCTTTATCCCTCCAGTTTTGTCTTTACCAGATGCTATGTAAATGGAATTAAACAGTGGCTGACCTTCTGAGACTGACTTCTTTCACTCTGAATAATGTCTTTGAGATTCATCCATGTTGATACATTCTTTTTTATTGCCAAGTAGTATTCCATTCTATGGACATGCCACAGTTTGTTTATATATTTACCTATTGAATTAAGCATGTTTTCTGGCTCCGCAAATTATTCTGCATCTTTGGACAAGCTATTTAATGTTTCTATGCATTCATTTCTTCATCTGCAATATGACAATAATGGGACCAATGTCATAGGGTTGTTGTGGGAATGAAATGAGTTAATACATATGACGTACTTAGAATAATGCCGGATATACACTTAGTGGCCAATACAGTCCATTATTATCATCTCCGATATTAGCTAGATATTGAAGTAGAAAGAACTTGACAAGTTCAAGGAATAGCAAAGCTGCCAGTGTGTCTGGAGTGTAATGAGCAAGGGCAGGGAGTAATATGAAATGATGGGGGGAGCATGTAGGAGTCAGATTATTAAGGGCCCTACAGACTGCAGCAGGGAGTTTTGATTTAACTCTGCAGTGGAAAGCCAGGGATGAGGCATGATCTGGTTCATGTCTTTAATAGATCACTCAGGCTGCTATAAGGAGGATCAGTTATCATGGTAAGAGTGAAAGTAGTGACCCTACTAGAGTCCTGCAGTAGTCTAGGGGAAAGATGGTGGTGGCTTGGATTAGAGTGGTGTTGGTAGGGATGAAGACCAGTGGTTTGATTCAAGGTGATGTTTGGATATAGAACCCACAAAACTTGCCGATGGACTCACAGCTCAGGGAAGCACATTCCCCACAAGAGTAGCAATGTGTGTCATCATAATTATCAACAGCAGCACTCTTCTCCTGGTATGACTTTGCCAAAGATTTCTTTCATCTGTTTTTGGAATTGAAACCTAAACTTTCATGCCTAATTTATGAAATGCGTTTGGAGAAATAGCCTGTCTCTCACACATTTTTAAATGAGATCAAATTGACTTCTTTCTTACTCATATTCATGACCCCAAACACATTTGTAAAAAACTGGCTTATCTTCCAAAACTGTGTACTCACGGCATTTTGCTTTGCTGTCCTCTGCAACACGTACGGTTCTTGACCCCACGTGCTGAGCAGTTTTGCTGGAAATAAAGTTGTCTCGGCTGCTTCATGCTTAGCCAGTGGAATGGTAGTTTTAGTGGTTGGCTGGAGTTCCTGTGTACACTTGGGATTTATTGTTGGAATAAACATTATTAGACTCAGATTAAAATTGGACCAGAAATTTATTTTTGTCCTTCTTTCAGCCTCAATTCACCCTAGAATCTCTCATCCAAATGACAAATAGTCTTGACTTTCTGAGGTGATCTAAAGATTAAAATCAGCCCTGGTGCTTACTTAGCTTTGCATTCAAATGGAGATTTTTTTTTTGGAAACAGAGTTAAAAATAGAGTCCTCTGATCTCACATAGAAAGTTTTCTTTTATTTTCTCCCCTATCTGCTCTTAACACATCTGTATTTGTTCTCTGTGGGGCCTTAACTTCCAACTCCTCCTTAAAGACAAACACCTGACCCAGACTTTATCTGGAACACAGTCATCTTGCTCTTTTTGTTTGTTTTAACCCTATCCTATCTGTTTAATCTGGGGCCTTCCATAATTCAGAGTTTGCTAAAAGGAAGGAATCTCCCTTTTATCATGAGCTGCTTGTCATGTCTTCCTCTAATTTTTGACATCTCTTGTTAGGTTAGTGTCAAATTGTGGCATTTATTATATTTACTCAAGTTTATTTGGAGGAGAGCCTCTGGAATCTAGGAGATGCTCACCTGAGTTTTGAGCCTAATTTTGTGCATTTTGGTAATTGACTTCTTTTGTGATCTTACAGAATACCAAGCTGGTATTTTACACTTGAAGAGGGAGCACAAAGAAGAAATTGAAAACCTGCAGGTATGTCTTTGATTTTACTGAACTGGTTTTAGGAGACTGGTATTTAGTTTTCTTATGTGCTAAAGTAAATATTCCTCTTGTTTTTAAGTATTTAACTAGACAGCATCTACAGCTTGCACCTGCCATTGGGCACCAAGTTTATCCTGGAGTTAAAAACCTTGGATTCTGTTTTTATTTCATTTCATTTCATATAGAGTCTTGCTCTGTCACCCCCGCTAGAGTGTAGTGGCATCATCATAGCTCACTGCAGCCTCAAACTCCTGGGCTCTAAGCAATCTTCCTGCCTCAGCCTCCTGAGTAGCTGGGACTTACAGGATCGAGGCATTGTGCCGGACTAATTTTTCTGTTTTTAGTAGAGACAGGGTCTCGCTCTTGCTCAGGCTGGACTCGAACTCCTGAACTCAAGCAATCCTCCCGCCTCGGCCTCCCAGAGTGCTAGGGTTACAGGTGTGAGCCACTGTGCCCGGCTGGATTCTGTTCTTAATAGAATTTGGGCTGGGCGCGGTGGCTCAC